GAAGCCTCGTTCACTGGGTACGCGGGAGCTGTGTTTTACTGAGGGAATTGCAACTAATACGATGACGATGACGCACAATGTGTATGAACTGGTGATCTCCTTTGTAAACCTTCACCCCATTCACAATTAAAACAATTTCTTTCAAATACTGCATAATTAAAGAAAAAGTTTAAAAATATCCCTGAAGTACAGAATTCCTTCATTCCTTCCTTTTCTATTACATGATTCCTATGTTTGAATTTTTTTTGTTAAGAGCAGATGCTACTTTACTGATTATCACAATTACAATGTATTTTATAAATCCACATACTTTGGTTTTTTTTTTTGTTTTTTTTTTTTTAAAGAACCACGTTTCAACATGGGTCCAAAGTGGGAAACAGTAATGTAAACAATGTGACCCCCTCCTTTTTGATAAATCAAGATGGTGCTGTTCTTGCTAAGTGCCGTAGAGTTGGCTCTGACTCATAGTGACCCTGCCTGGGTTTTTGAGGAGCAGCTGTTGAGTCTGAACCACCAACCTTGCGTTTCAAACCGACCTTGTCAAGTACTTATTCTATGGCGCCACACCAGGACAAGATATTATTAGTCAATTCACTTATTTACCTAAGCATTCTATTGTAGGAGAATATTGACTTTGAATTAGTATCGTTAAATATTTTATGAAAATAGGGTATGAACAGTCCCATTTCTATGTATGTGTACACTGGAAATAATTAGATCCAAATCAACCCACTGCCATCAAGTTGATTCCAATTCATTGGGACCCTCTAAGACAGAGAAGAACTGCCCCTAGGTTTCAAAGGCTGTCATCTTTACAGACACCGAGTGTCACATCTTTTTCCCACGGAGCACTGACCTTTCTCAGTTAACAGCAAAGTACTAAACCGCCTAGAATGAGTGGAGATTCTCTTCATTATCTGTGTTTTCTCAATTTCCTACAAGCATCTTGTACCACTTTTGTAATCCTAAAAAGCGCACAAGGACCCAGGCTGCCTCAAGAATCTTCAAGCAGCTGAAGTAGGTCTCATCAAGAGTCTCGATCACAGAGGAGACTTTGAAAGACATGTGGTAGGGCTGGAGAGACATCACTTTGGAGGTCAAAAATGGGGGACCAACAGAGGCCAATGAGAAGAAGAGAGGGGAGCTACTTCTCAGGGTAGACACCACAACAGAATAACGGACACCATCTTCCACAACAGTCTCACAGAAGAACCGGACCAAGAAAGCAGGGCCACAGTCCCAAACCCACTCCACGGAATCTCCTTCAACTCAGCGACCCTACCCTACAGGGCAGAGGAGAACTGCCCCACTGGATTTCTGAGGCTGTAAATCTGCCTCACCGTTCTCCAGTGGGGTAGCTGGTGGGTGCGAACCACCAACTTTTCAGTTAGCAGCTGAGTGCTTTAGCCCCTCTGCCACCAGGGATCCTAGAGCCACGATAACCAACATTTGGCGATTGATTTGCCAGATGCTAATCAAATGTGACCCAAGGTACCTATAGCTTTCTCTGCCTCAGGATTTCTACATTTCTAAGTATTTCAGGTTCTCTTGAGCCCTGGGGGTAAAAAATTCAAACCCACTACTTTCTAGGTTTACAAAAGTCGATTCCAACTCCTAGTGATCCGGTAGCACAGAACAGAAGAACAGAGCTGCCCTGTAGGCTGTAATCTTTATGGATGTGAACAGCTTCATCTTTCTCCTGCGGAGTGGCTAGTCTTCCAGTTAGCAGCAGCCTAACCTATAACCCACAGTACCAGTGCAGCTCTCGTCAGTCTTAGCAGTTCAATGATAACCATAAAAACATACAGAATTCATGTTTTACAGAAGGGGATGGGCACAGCCTTGACCTTCAGATCCATTGAGAGGGAACAGAGATTTCACCTTGACCAGCTCAGGCTCTGGGTAACTCAGCAAGTCCCTCCCTCCTCCAGCCAGCTCATGTATATGTCATTGTTAAGTGCTCTCAAGCTGGCTGGGACTCCTAGCGACCCATCTACGCACAACAGAGCGAAACACCGCCTGGTCCTGCGCCATCCTCACCATCGTCGTTTGAGCCCATTATTGCTGCAACTGTGTCAGTTCTCATTGGGGGTCTTCCTCTTTTTGGCTCGCTCATAGGGCAAATTAAATGGAAGGCTCTATGTGAGGCTTTTACCAGGCACACACAACATATTTAATACAGTACAGCAGCTACCAAGTGTATTTTCCCAGGATGAGGAAGACTGCAGTTCCTGGGTGGTACACGTAGTAATTGAAAGTTTGCAGGTTCAAGTTCACCCAGGAATGCCATGAAGGAAAGTCTGACACATCATCAGTCAGAGAAGATGTGATCGCAACTAGTTTGGTTTTGGCTTATGAATACTTTTTAAAGGAAGACTGTAGAAGAATCGATACTTTTAATATTCTCTAACACCATAAGTCAAATGCATCATGGACTGCCAAAAGAACAACCAGATCTATGTTGGAAGAAATACAACCTGAATGGGTTTTGGAAGCCGGGATGGTGAGACTTTATCTCTCATACTTCGGACATATTATCAGGAGGGACCAGTCCCCGGAGAAGGCTATCATGTTTGGTAAAGTGGAAGGTCATGGAATAAGAGGAGATGGATTGGCACAGTGGCAACACCAATGAGCTCAAACTTAACAATGATTGTGAGGGTTGGCGCACGACCGGGCAGTGTTTCATTGTGTTGTGTACAGGGTGATTGAGTTGGAATCGGCAGCACCCAACAACAAAGGTCAAGTGTATAAACACCGCCAAGGGGTTTTACCTGCTTCTTTTCTTCTGGTCGGTCCTTCTCAGGGTACATGGCCAGCAACAAGCTGAGGTCCAGTTCAATGCTCGTTCCGAGCAAGGAATTACTTTCATCACCATCAAGCTTTCTGATTATTTCTAGCAAAGGGAAGCAAACATAATGGAGTTCATTGTCAAGCTATGTTATGTCGTTAGGTCAAAATACCCCACAAAAGTATGATCAAGATACAAAGAAAGTAGTTTTCACAGGAAATTTCTGTTGCCCGAATATCCCACACCACATAACAAGGGCATGCCACAGATAACACCCATTTGTTTCCAGCTGAAAGATGACATCTGCCTACCAGCGGTAATGGATACGCCCCGGTGGCTCCTGGTGGCACCTCCTGAGCGGGAACTCGGGTTCAGGTGCGTTGACACTTCCATTTCAAGACCTGGGAGCTCTGCTATGTGGTCATTGTAAAATTGGCCTGTGTACACACGTCCATTCTTAAAAGTCAGTCGGCCCTGTGGACAGAAAATGATCACTTTCTGAAGTTTAACAGACATTTTCTTAGAGAAGCCTTGCTAAACATACATGTGGATTGCACTGTGTTCCTGTCCCACCCCCAACCCCAAAGGTATGTGTCAGCTTGCTTGAGCTATGATTCTCAATGGTTTGGCAGTTACGTAATGAGGTAATTTGGCAATTTGTGTAGCATGGTGACGTCATTTGGCAGTTAGTTGTGTCATGATGTCATCATCCCCCATGAAGTGATCTGATGGAAAGGGATATGCAACCCCATGACTCAGGCCACAGCCATGATCTAATGTAAGGGGCATTTCCCCAGGGCCTGGCCTGCATTACTTTTTATCTTAAATAACAGGAGAAAGGTAGGACCTAGAACCCTAAGAAAGAAGACTCAGGGGCAGAGGGTGTGCTTTCAACCCAGGGTCCCAGTGCTGAAAATCTTCTAGACCCCAGAGAAAACTGTTGACAAGAACCTAACCCCAGGACTTCCGGCGCTTCCCTGACCAGGTAGCACAGGTACACAGGCTCGGGAGAAAGTAGGGGGTGGTATCACAAAGGGGGGCCCCTGCCTGGTAGACAGCTTTTGGGCAAACATAAAACATTAGGCTTCAACTTTATAAACTTGATTTTTTGAAGGATCAAACTATTGAGGAGTTATGAGCATTTTGAGCTTCCACACGCCTGCTCCCAGCTCCCATCCCGGGGATGACCCCGCCCACTGCAGAACTTAGCAGGGCTTGAGCAGACCCATTCAAAGGGCGGACACTCTCAGAGAACTAGTGGGGCCACAGGAACCAACATAGTCCATCCCAG